TCAATCAGTTCTGGGTGTTCTATAAAAATATAAATAATATCATATTATGCAAAAATCCAATTTCTGGCTCATCGTTTAGAATACCTACTTGAATAATTGAACGAAGTTATTTGCATATAAAGTTTTTCATAAGTATTTTTTCTTACAGCAACTAAAAAATATCTGAAATACATATGTTATAGAACTAAGCATATAATTTATTGATTTAAATAGACAAAATTTGTAAATATTGTTAAAAAGGTCCAGTTTATTTTGTGAATTCAAACGACGAAAAATTTCCTTGTACACGTAAGTATGGTTTTAAATAAATCTAAGGATCTGAAATACCAAAAAAAAAAAAATCCTCTCAAGAATACAAAACTATAATTTAAAAAATATTTAGACTAATTACATATAATTTAGGTTATACTAATATATAATGCGAAGCTATTCACACAGTTCTATGATACTTGGTACTATCTATTTTAGTAGTAAATAAKGAAAGGTAGGTAAATTCTATACCTAAGAGAACGTTACTCATTTAATTCAATKATATAAAATCATTATATACGAAAAGCGATTCTGAGCGAAAACGATCTGCCAYTCTATAATATTACTAAGTATATTTAATGATATCATATTATAATTAAAGTAATTAATTTAAACATTAGGCATTAGTAAAACAGTATGTTAAATTTATTTTTGTCAGAAATAATACATTTGTAAACGTCATTGTGTGTATAAAATATAATGATGTACTCTGAAAGTTTCAAGTACCCACGAATAATATTTTTAAATTACAAYAAAATAATTAAAATTGTTATTCGAACTTAAAATAAATATTTAAAAAAACTAGTCAACACTATAGGTAAGTGGATGTCACTTTGCTGTACAGTAGGTTACAAGTAGTTTACTATAATGGATAGTATTAAATTTGAATTCAATGATTTACAGTTTTACTACTAGGAATTTTAAAATTAGACCTACTGAAACTGAAGGCACTAACTAGATTTACTTTCTTAGTGGAAAAGATACTAAAGTAGAAATCAAAGCTTTATTTTGACTGCTTATCGTATAAACACAAAAATTAATGATAATAAAAAGACACACATCATTGTATTATATCAATACATTCATTGCTCCATCCAGAATCTAAAATACATTATGTTTAATATTATAATAATTTACAACGATTATGTGACGTACCATATTGTGATGTTTTCGGTAAAAATGTTTTAACATAATAGTCACCCTATTATTTATTGTAATATATCCAAATAAAAAATGAAATATATAGATATAAATGTTGATACGCACTGTATTCGCTCAGAATTATTTTCATTTACTTATAATGATTTATCACTGAATTTAAATTCCTATTTCTATTTTTTTCTATTTTCTATTTCTATATTCTGTTAAAATGAACATGATGAATTCAAATTTAATGTATCCCTTACAGTCAATATCTACTTAATGACGAACAAGGTTTTCACTAGACATCTACTATGCAGCAGATCGACTTCCACGAACCACTGTTATTTATTTACTACCTATCTATTATTTACGAATTAATTCATTGCTACGAAATAGGAATACAATTGTACGAAATCGTTAATGTTGTAAGATATATTATACTAACAATATAATTAGAACAACG